TTGATACACCAGTCGTTTGCACATAAATATGTAGTAGTTTCATTTCTCCGCCACTAGACCACTCGGAGTCTGTTAATAGTGGACCGCTTGTCCCCACTATTACAAGTGTTCATAGGAAAGCGCTAAATAAGGGTGGCGCAACTATAGCTAGAGTGTACATTTTAAATAACTTTTTATAATTTTTTATTGCACAGTATTTCACCATAATTCTTTTTTTAATATTTTTTATTATTTTTTTTAATAATTATTTTACTGTTTTCAAAAATTTTATTTTCAAAATCACTCATCGTGTTTCACAGTGACTTTCTAGGTTATATTTACTAAATTATTTTTGACAACGTAAGTAGTTAAGGTTTTAAATACTGCAGTTTCATCAACTACTCTAGTCACAACAAATATTAAATGCCATCAAAAACATAACTTGAAAAAAAAAACAAGTCTCGCAACTCAGCTCTTCTACCGTAAAATTGTTGTGAGATCCATGTAATGCCAAGTAGGTTAATTTATTCAGTCCCTACTTAAGGGTCCTTCTGTTTTAAGTTATTACGTAATTAGCTAACCTAACAACATTGTATAGAGACCATATCAATGTTAAAAATCTTATATGTTTCAAATAATGGATTGACTTGGCCATCGCAATAAAACACAATGCATCTCACAAGTAATACATATGATATTAAATTACATTGCTTTGTGCGATAAAACTCCGATATTGATATGTTTATAATCGTCGATATATCAAAAATCTGATATTTTAAAAATTATTAACAGTCCTAGTTTGAGCTGATCGGTTGGAATGATCAGTTGAACAGACCGTGTGTGTCGTCCATTATGTATACGTTTTTGACAGTATTGATGCATAATGATTTCTTATATTTACGCGAACACTACACATTGATTAAAACTACTTTTACGGATTTTATCGCGTTTATTTTAATTATATTTATTTTTAATTCCCGACGTTTCGCTGAGCATATAGCCGATGTGAAGCATCAACGTTCCGGGAACTCTACAGTTTGTGATCATATCTTAGACGGCCCCAACCATTACATCAGATTTGATTGGTGCCAAAAACACATCCCCCAGAGGGGATTTTTTTTTTGTGGGGTTTTTAATTTTTATTTTTTTTTTTTTTACCACAAATCCTCGTGAAAGAACATCGATTCCTACCAAGGATGATACGTGAGGCTATTGAAATTAAAAAACATCCTAATTTCAAGAGAAGGAGGCTGGGTACTACCACCAGCTTGGGACACTATAATCAGTAAAATTAAAACTAAACCCAAGCATACCACTGCAAGACCTCGACATAGTTAGTTCATTTGCATAGATCGGACCATAAACAATAAATAAAAAAGCTGAAGCACAAACTAATAAAAGTACTAAAGCTGAAGGTACTCCGAGCTTAATAATGACATCGGGACGTCAGTCACCTCAGTCCCCCGTGACCATGGGTGCTGGAAAGCACCCGAAACGTCGGGAATTAAAAATAAAAATAATTAAAAGTAAATTAAACGCGATAAAATCCGCAAAAGTAATTTTAATCAAAGTATTGATGCATGCCAAAAGACCTTAAAACCGGATTTCTAGGTAATTAATTATTTCTTTTTCATTGCACATTTTTAGGTTTTTTATACATGCTTCCATTTTGTTTAAAAAAAAAGAACACCTTTTCTTTGATTTTAAAATTTATGAGTTTCTTGTAGTGTAATTGATTAATATTTCGTGTATTTAAAATATCAAACAAGTCATTTAAATTTTGCAAATAATCTACTGTACCTTGAACATCGGTGAACCCAGGTTGGTTAGTTTTGAAGCAAAAATTAAAGCTTTAGCCACACTACTGCTCATCAGTTGTGTCGCCGGCTTAACTTTCATTTTTTGGTTGTAGAAATAAGGCGACGTCTTAACTTATTCGCAAGATGCATTTTTTCTGTAGATGGTTAAGATGTACATACCACATACAGCCACTTTGTTGATCTACGAAAATTGTCCTTTACCCTTATCTTGGTTCGAATGCATATATGAATGCATATATATTACTAGTTTTACCATGTAGCAAGCATCCAACAAAACGTTAACTGGTTTTTGTGAAATAGGATGGCTAAAAAAAGTGTTTATATTATTGATTTCAAAAGAGCATCCGTCAAACGTTAGATAAATAACGTATTTATATGGGTGACAAACAAGCACACAATCCACCTGATGTAAGTGGATACTGTGGCCCATAGACATTTACATTTAACCTCGATTAAGAATCAAAATGCAGATGCGTTTTCACCCGTGCGGACTAAGATGGAATGCTTCGATTCCAGTAAAACGGGTCTCCGGTTCTTTACACTCACCATACGATACACAGCAACATTAAGCTGCTATTTTACGCTGGTATTCTGTGAGAGCGTGGCCCTTCCCCAGTCGAGCCGACCCATTCATGCTACAACTATAGTGGCTGCAGTGTAGCTCTACCACGTAACAAAGTTAGTTGTGCTTAAAATTTCAAGATACAGTTTCAAATGTTTCGACTTTTGCTCACCTGCTACACCATCTGTCAGAAAGTATACGACAGTAATTTTCCATGCCCCATTAATTGCAGTAACAAGGAATACTTAAGCCTCTTTTGCTTCACACAAAGGATCCCCACCATCGTCAAAATTACATAATATTGGATATTGTGTAAATTGAACTTTAGATTTTATAGCATCAAGGGACTCTGTGGTTAAACCAGGTTCTGCGTCAAAATATTGATACCGTTTTTTTTATATTAAAAGGGGAAAGTGCACAGTAAAAAGGGCCACCGTTTCTCTATACTCGAAACAACAGTCTTAAGCTGCTATTTTACGTTGGTATTCTATGAGAGCGTGGTCTCACCCCGGTTGAACCAATCCACTCGTGCTTCTTCTATTATAGATGAAGCGTGGCTTTACCACGTAAAGTAGTATAGTAATACAACAGTGGCACGACCGCGGTCAGCTTTCTCTTTTGTCGCTAGATCTATCTAGAATCTATAACTATCAATAAATCGATTACAAACGTATTACCCGTTTTCTCCCCGCTACCTCAAGATATTATTCATCATTCATTAATTAAATAAAGCCAATAGAAAGTCCACTGCTGAACGCAGAGGAACATTTGCCGTAGTTCCATCTCTTAGCAAATGGTTTGGCAACCGTAATTTTTTACTATTTTGAGTTGTTATCACAAATATTCTGTTGCTTATCTCACGTTTCATTTCTCTCTGTCGTCTTTTACGACACTGTCGGGACGGTATGTATCCTTAGAGCTTCTAAGTAATAATATATATTATTTGGTAGGAGGTAATGAATTCTTTTTCGCTGCCACTACACAGCATTATCAAGATCCTGCCTTACCTTCATGATTTTGAAATTTTTTCATTCAAACAGATAAAGCTTTGTTGAATATAATCGATGGTTTATGTTTTCTGTTAAGCAAGTGGTAAATCTATATAAATAAAAATTAATAATCACATCTATGAAATACCATCACTTAAGAAAGGCTGGACAGATTTCGATACACTCACACTTACAATTGTACCCGGTAAATGGCATTGTTGTCGAGATCTAGAAAACAGTCGTGCGAAGCCGGAGCGGATGTTAGTTACCATATGAAGTTGGGATTACAAATGGGATCCAACTCGCTCACGCACCGAGTGTCTGTCAAGACTTCCCTTCCTAATTATTAATTTTTAACATTTGAGAATCGAATATTTGAAATGTAAACAATTTACTTGATCGTTCGAATAATAATAAGTCTAGTCCTATTTTTTTAAATATTTTAGGCATTTGAAGTAATAATAATAAATAACTAAACAAAAACGAGTATATCGATGTCGATTGCAGCTAACATTGCGAACGAAATCACTATAGATTAAAGACATAATCACAAACTAATAAGAGTACTAACGTAGACATAATGTCTTGTAAAGTAACGTACACGGAGGTTAGAGAACAGGAGAACAATCGCCGTAGAAAATAGTGTCCCAGAAATATGGACACCATAAGTGAGGCGCTGCGCTCGCTAAGTTCGCTCAATAAAAGTCATTTTCAGTCTATTTTTCCGATAGTGCTAAACTACTTGCATATCCACGCACAATAAAATATTTCTCCATTATTTAATGTTTGTCAAAAATTAAAAAAATACAGAGCATGATAATTTTCTCACCAATGCCGCGAAGAAAATTTGTACATTATTCACTAACTTCATCTACTTGTACTCATAAACAGCTAACTTCGCAGCCACTACTCACCGACGGCAGCGCCGTTATAAATTCTACAAATTTTCAAGGACAGGCGGACTATGCTTTAGTACGTAGCGATCGTTCTCCTATTCTCTAACCTCAACGGTAACGTCACACATGATACTACTACGAGGGGTGATCCAAAAGTAATGATAATGAAAATAAAACACAGTAATTAAAGTTAAAATAATAACTTATTTTTCTACATAGTCTACTTACTTACTTACTTTTGTATGTAATTGAAAAAGATTCTTTGTCTTGACCCTCCCAAAACGCTTCAACAGCGGCCATTACTTCGCTATCGTCTTCGAATTTCTTGCCTCGGAGGCGTTCCTTGAGCCGAGGAAAGAGGTAGAAGTCACTAAGCGACTACTAGGTTTATTTTGTTTTAAATTTTTCAGACATATATTGTGTTGTTATTTAATGTCTCCTGTCAATGTTGTGTACGCCTATAATAGGTATATGTATAAGGAATTGTGCTTCAAAAATGTATCTTTTATAATATGTATACATGTACTGTTGGTGTACCTTTTTTTAATAAATAAATAAATAATACGTTTTGAGAATAGGAACCGACCTATTATCATAGATGTAGTATACAATCAGTTTAAATTTAAAGTTACTATATCCTTTAACTGATTGGTATTGTGGTATTGTGCATGAAGGTAAAGTAGTGGCGTAGGTGCGGTATGAAATAAAACGTTCATGTCCAGTAGCAAATAGTTTATTATTGGTGGGCATCAGAATGCGGCGGGCGCTGCGCGGGCGGCGCGGGATTCGCGGGCGCGGAGTGCGCGGGCGCGGGCGCGGCGTGCGTCAGCTGCGCCAGCACGAGATGCGGGCGCGCGGGCGCGGCGCGGCGCAGCGCCAGCTGCTGCAGCTGCAGCGCGCGCAGCGCCGCGCCCTCTCCGCCACCTCCGCCTCCACCCCGCCTCCGCCGCCTCCGCCGCCTCCACCGCCTCCACCGCCTCCACCGCCTCCACCGCCTCCACCGCCGCTCGCTGCGCCCTAAACCACACAACCTTCATCATTACACTTCATCCCTTTTTAAATATATATATATATATATATATATATATATACATACAAAACATTGCGCCTGAAGAAATAAACACTAAAGAAAATATTTCTCTACGAAAATCTAAACCATTTGGTTGGAAAGGAGAAAGGACAGAAAAAAACATAAATATATAAAAACAAATCATTTTAAATAGCTGTAAGGTTTCTTAAAAACAGTAAAATAAAAATAAAACTGCCTGGTTGGTCTACGCAACTATTGATTATTTGTCACGGGTTTGAATTCATTCAGGCAAAAATCAGTTATTAAGGTTTACTGTCAAGAGATTTTAAAAAGCAACCTGAAATCAGTAAAGGAGATTGGCCAAATCGTACCAGACGATGAAACGATGACGCCCCAATATGACATACTTATGAAAAATATCCTTATTGTTTTAGGTCTTAAAAACACAAGAAATATCTTTCTAAGTAGCCACAAAAAAGTTACCCATTTATTTTTGTTTCTCTAACAGTTTCGAAATTATTTCAAATAATAGTTTCAGAACGCACCTAATGGCGACTCATTTCGTGTATGAAAAGACTTGGTATTCAAATACTACAATTATTCACGTTTTTCTGAATAATTGTTAATTTCAATTCAATCCAATAAGTATGTAGACGTCAAATCAACTACCACGCTGATTTATTATGTACTGGATACTTGTTATAAAAATAATTATATAGGTCATAGTAAGCTAAACGTTTTGTTCAATTACGTACAACGGAACGTCATTTGTCATCGCATAATCTGTGGTCATCTATCCGCGCCATTGTCATTTCCTTCTGGTGTTTTGACCTCGGTATTGTTATACTAACTTCATCATTAGTTAATTGTAAAATATGCATTGATATACGCTTTGCCGCCATCTCATTTTTGAGCTTGATACCAGAGTAATTTCTAAGATCTGCGTGTAGAATTCTTCAATAATAGTACGTATTTACATACCGATTTATTTTATTACAATAATATAAACCATCATCATAATACAACTCTAATCAATCATACATCATATTACAACTCTAATTCTTATTTTAAATCACTGATGAAGATTACGTATGTGATGCCTGTCAGCAATTGGCAATACAGCATGTCAACTCCGGGTTACCTAATGAACCTGGTGCCTCATCTTCCCGTGGCCACAAGCATGTTTGCATACTTTGTGGAAGTTCTCTGAGGAACCGTAAACGTGACCTTATTGTGAAAGAGAATCTATCTCAGTTGCAACAAGCAATACATATAGAGCTTGAAAATATAATTGCCGCAGGAAAATAGAATCACGGCAGGTAATAATTACCTTTTTATTTTGTACTTTTTTAGTGTACTTTTTTTGTTTTGTATAGGTATCAATGTTATAGTGAATTTATCACTGCAATTTTATATTGTTGTATAAAATATTTTTATTTGCTCGGGTTCAATAATAATGAGCCAAAACATTTATATTAAGACAAGGCTGTATAGTTGTTTCAGACAACTTCAACAGACTCAAGGGAGTTGCAACACATAATATGCAGCAAAATATTGAGCAGGAGCCAGAGCCTCAACCCCAAGAACCTCAAAGGCCTCCAAATACCGACCAGAAAGCTGACAAAGTACCTTGGGTGATTAGTTTGCCGCAGTATAGACGAGCGGCAAACATTGCAGCACATAGCGTTTTTTCTGGTTGCCAGAACAGAAATTTGCATAGAATTTGTGACCCTTTAAGAGCAACAACTCTTCGCAAACACAAATATTACTTGCCTATAAATGTTCGTATTTATGTAGAACATACATTTAGTACTGAATGGGATATGTTGTTCAATTCTCAAAATAGTTTGAGAACTTTTACAGTTGAACAAGTGGAACATGCTCTTACTTTTATAAATGCTTTTAACACATTTCTCGATTTCTCGTTTGGAAAGTGTTGAAAGAATTGATGAACATCTGTTACATTATTTGCTCGGAATGAATAAACAGCAATTTGAAGTTTTATTATATGAAATACCACGTCTTATAGAAACAAATAGAGGCATTTTAGGTTTAGGTGCTCTTCTAATGAAGATGAGAACTAGTGAATCAGATGACCGGTTATCTCAGTTATAAATGGTTCCAAGACGAACATTAGAAAAATTAATGGATAAGGTTAGGGAAATATTGGTACAAGATTTTGTGCCAAGGAATCTGGGAATTCAACACATATCCCGTGAACAATTGTCGCAACACAATTTAATGATTCCAAATGCAATTCATAATCAAAATAATGAAAATACGATAATTATATGTGATGAGACATATATTTATATAAATAAAAGTTCCAATTATATGTTCCAAAAGGACACATATTCCTTACATAAGTACAAAAACTTGTTAAAACCATTTTCGCTGGTGACACCTGATGGCTACACTGTAGACTGCTTTGGCCCATACAAAGCTCCCACAGCTGATGCAGATCTAATGAAGTCTCTCTTCAGAGATGAAAACTCTTAGACAATACTTTCACAATGACGTGTTTAGTCTCGACAGCGGATTTATTAATGTTTTATTCTTTATTGCATTTCTTATTGATATATAAGAATACAAGGGCGGACATACTTATTGATATATAAGGATACAACGGCGGGCCTTGAGGCATTCTCTACCAGCCAACCCATGGTGTGGTGAGAATTTGACGTAGGTGTGGCAATATAGAATACAATAAAATAAAAATGAAATTATTAATAGAATCAGGCGTTACTTTGCGGAAATCCATTATAATAAATATATTAATAGTTATTTTGCAACCATCCGCTAATTTAAATAAAATGATGTGTCTTCCCTAGTTTGAAGAGCACCTCCCGCCCTCTCTCAAATCGCGTGCAGTAATCCCGTCACCACTACTCCCGGCACCACTACTCCCAACACCACTATTCCAGGTAAGACACACTATCGACGATAACACGACACGTGTTTCGCGTCTACACGAGGCATCCTCAGGTGATGTAGACTTAGCGGTCAGCCGCCGTAGATTTGTTGTTAGAAGAAGAATGTAGAACCCTATCATGAGATAAGGAAAGAAATTTATTCTTAAGATAAGAAGGTGAAAATGGGTCATTTAATATGGAAAAAAGAACAAGTAATATTCTGAAATTGCGCTTCTACCGGATTGTAAGCCAATTAAGCTTAGATCTATATTGCGAAACATGGTCATACTTACGAAACCCAAAAATAAATCTTATACAGTTATTGAGAAGGCGTTCCAGCTTGTTCAGAAGATCCTGGGACAGATCCGAGTAACACATTTGCATAATCAATTACGGGTAATATGAGCGATTGAACAAGCAAGGTCTTAGACTTCGTGGGAAGAAAATGTTACAAACGATATAGAGAACGTAACGTGGCAATGACATTACGACTCACTTCCGAAACCTGAGTTCTCCAATTCAGCGTGCTGTCGATGTGTAGGCCAAGATTTTTAACAGAGTTACTGAACAGAATTATAGTACTATCATAATAAATAGGTTTGTCTGCAAAATTAATCTTAGCCAGCATCCTTGTGCTACCTACCAGTATAGCTTGACATTTCAAAAGGTCCTGTCCTAGATTGGATTGCTAGCTATCTAAGAAATAGGATACAATTTGTAGAAGTAACAAATATTGATAATTCACAGACATTAACTTCTTACAAATCCAGTGACAGATTAAATTTATTTGGAGTTCCACAAGGTTCCGTACTGGGGCCCATTCTTTTCCTTGATTAAAACTACTTTTACGGATTTTATCGCGTTTATTTTACTATTATTTTTAATTCCCGACGTTTCGGGCGCTCTCCAGCACCCATGGTCACGGGGGACTGAGATGACTGATGTCCCGATGTCATGACTGACGTCCCGATGTTAATCAATGTGTAGTGTTCGCGTAAATATAAGAAATCATTATGTAAACCAGTACGGACTGGAAATAGCAAATAAAATACGCCGCTTAGAAGATCTAAAGACCAAGCGGGCAAGATACATAACAGCTTTAAATTTCTTGAAGAGATGCAGAGATCATAATCTCATTCCTACGTGTGTCAAGATATCCACTAAAAAAGACATTCGAGGAAGCGCTAAGATCTTAAATCAGGCGAGTAAAAAGTTGTTAATAACGGTGATTCAGCAAAAACGTGCCGATCTATATTTCATAAAAAAAACCATAGACAATTCGTCCAGTGAATTAAAGACAGTTTTATCGGCATTTGATTATAAAAATTGCATGGAAACTTTAGATAAACGCGAAACAACCAAATACAATGAATGCAAAAATAAACATATTGATAAATACCATAAATTAACAACTAAATCAAATGTCCAACATACGAAATCGTTGACCACAGACACGAATCATAAACAACGCGCTGTCTACAACTTATCAAAACAAACACTGGACGACGCCACAATAAAAGTTTTAGAAAAATGTATGAATTTCGCAATTACACCGCGAAAAATACCGTATGAGGACATTATCTGTAGTGTTGAGGACTGTCTGTATAAAAATAACATTGGTAATAAAGATTTAGAGGCCATACGTCAAGACATTTCGTCTATGTTACGTCGAAGTTCAGCACCGAAATTAAATCTTCCCAAAAATGAATTTAACGCGTTGAAAAACTTACGCACAGACCAGAGCTTACGATTCTCCGCACTGATAAAGGCAATGCTACGGTTATAATGGATACGTCAGATTACAATTTTAAAATACAACAACTTTTATCGGATGAAACTACATACCGAAAGGTCAAAACAGACCCTACAACTAATACGCTTATAACAACTAGCGATCTAATTAAGAAATACTCCGAGAAATTGAATCTGGACGTTAATTCGATAATACCTTCATGTGCCAAACCACCGGAGTTGTATGGGTTACCAAAAATACAGAAACCGAACGCTCCATTACGTCCAATAGTGAGTCAGATTGATTCGCCAACTTACAGATTGGCTCAATACTTAGCTAAAATATTA